TATATATATATATATATATATATACGTGTATAAAACCTACGCCCAAAACCAGCAAAAGTGAGCGGATCTATAAGCTTCTCCTTTATTTCCAAAACCAGATCTTCGCAGTCCCTAGCAAAAAAATAAGACACAACAGGAACTCGGTCATGAAGGTTGACCAAGTTAGCTTGAACTGAGAAATTAAAATCATCGTATTCCAATAAACCAATTTCGGCTAAATGAGTTGATTTTGGATGAGCAAATTGCAAGAGAGGTCCCTTTTCAGAAGAAACCTAAAGTTATCAATGTAAATGTCATTTTACAGCCAATTCGAAATCACATTCACTACCCGGAAAAGCACATTCTAAAAAAAATCTGTTGTTTAAAATCTGCTTTGTTAACCAACTTGTACCTTATAACCTGCACTCTTCATGGATTCAATAATCATTTCTTTAGCGGACTTCTGAATCGATTTCTCTTTCCTTGTTGCGTGAGCAACATGCAATTTTGAGCTCAGTCTGGTCTCTTGCGATAAATGATGATCGTTCTTACTGCATGCTGGCTGCATAGATTTCGTACTAAATTATCTTATTATGCTTAGATACGTGAGTTTAAAAAATGTTTGCTTTAGAACTCAAAAACAGGAATCAGAATTCAAAAATTAAGCTGGTACACTTCCCTTCTTCAAATTCTAGGAGAAATTAATAAGACATGCCATCACAATTATTGGTTACTCAACCGAAAGATCAAAATAAATAAATCAATTAAAGTAACACTGACTAAATTGCTTTCAATCTGCAATTCCAAATTCTTAATTATATTTTACAAAGAATCAAAAAACTGACTCATCAACAACGATTCTTAACCTGTCTCCGCTAACAACGTCAAAGGTGGGAATTTTGCCGCTGGGATCTCCTCCTAATTTGGTATCGCCAATGTAAAGAGCAAAGTCTCTGGAAATGAAATTATACTATCATCAATGATCACAAGAAACTGGAACGATAATACATGAAAAAAAAATGTGATCCCGGGAAACTTCAACTAATAAAGAATGAAGAACAATGAAGCATCTCGGAGAAGCTGCCTAATAAACCAAAAACTAACTCTTCTAAATTAAAAGCATCTTTTGCAGCTTTACAGAAGTGTTCAAATGTCCAGTCTTCTACATTATCAAAGCGTTCAGTTGTGCCCAAATACTTTACAAACAAATGCATCTTCAATGAGCGAGAAATCTTCTGAAATAAACAAAAAAGTCAACATGCAAAAATCAAAAAGATCCCCCTCTCAATGCCGAACACTAAAGAGAAGTCCAGCAGCCCTATTCTGGAACTATCTATTAAAAACCCAGCCATCAAAGCTAAAATAAACGAAAAATGTTACAAAAAAACTAGTGAACTTCGTACTTTAAAACCCTCATTTTCGATTTAAAACCGACAGAAGCTGGTGCTTAGACTTCTTCCTGTCAACCCTACTGAGTAACAAAATTTTTTGCTTTCGCTGTTTTTACTGCCACATTACTCTACGCCTCAAATTTTATATCCACTGTATAAAATTGGAACTCCTGCCAGCCCATTAAAGAAATGTCAAAGCTTCTAAAATATTCCAGTCACGTCTAAAAATTTTAAAATGATGAGAACTGTCTATAAATAACTCAATTAATTCACCTAACACGCAGATACAGCGACCGTACTGGCAAGACACCTTTACAGTAAGTGAAATACGAGTGTCATTGATACAACCCTACACGAATCACGCCTCAATTCAAACGATGGGCTCTGCTGCTTCAGATACTATATATCCTGATTTTCCGACAAACTAACTACTGAACGGAAAACCTTTCCTGGAAAATTACCAAGACTTTAATCACTGAACACAGGCAAATCATAGAGCGACCAAACCCGAATAACAACGCAGCAGAGATACAAAAAACCATATCGCAAACACCACGTAGAAACGCGTATACAATTAAACTCAATTCTAATGTTTTAGAAAAAGTCCACGAACTTTCATAATTTCACAAATAATCTCACTTATCAAATAAGAAAAATGCACCGATGATACCCCGTGAGTACGGTTTTCCTAACAAAGAAAAAAAAAATAAATTCAGAAAATGAATGTCAAAGAATAATAGCACCAAGAGAAGCCAAAGGTAACAACATGACAAACTGGCAAAAAAACCCTCAAAGGATTTTACAAAAGTAAAGATGACTACAGCAGAAACAGTCAAGAGCAATAAGCAAAAAACCAAATCACTTAACAAAAGCATAAAGACAGCTGTCAAAAAAGTATAAACCAAAAGTCATAACTGAAACAAGATGAAAAAGGCCATTTTCTAAATCCAACTAGCAAGGGTAATACATGTGAGATTATAACAACGTGGCAAAAGATTTCACATAAACAATCATAATTAAATTTTCCTGTAGAATATAAAGAAACCCAACTTTGACTTTCAGCAAAAATTACAATTCTGAAGAATCGTCTTCCTTTGATGACAGAACTTGCGAGAGCTTTCCCATATCACACCTCAAAAAGATTTGTCACAGACTCCCTTATTATTTTACATTCATTCTGATTAAACTTCCAGCATTTACAGTAAACAAAACCTCGTTATTTCTCGTAACGCCATGGTTGCATAAGAACCCGCAGGGAGAGTGAAGCTTAGAAGCAATGCTCTGTATTCTCCTGTGTCATGAAGCCTTTCATCGACCTTTCCATCCAGATCTGGCTGTAGCTTAGAATTCACATCTGCGTAATTAACAACTTCAAACTCAAAATCCTTTGGCTTTATTACTACAGGACGTAAGACACTGGCGACAGCATAGTCTCTAAATATATTAAGTTTCGTATTGTTGAAAACTTATTTTTCGCGTGAAACTACCGCACCCTCCAAGACTGTTGAAATTTTAAGATTCTAGAAGCAATCCAAATTTTTGACTAAATTATTTGAGAAAAATGAAACATTAAAGCCATTGGTATTAAGAGGTTCAGAACAACTTCTCAATTGCTGCAAACATTTCTTCTTTGATGCCGTTCTCCTTCAGTATTTCATCATACCACTCAGCTACTGAAATAAGCAAAAAAATGATATAATGAGGAAAAGTAAAAATAAAAAAATTTGAAACCTACTGATATTTCTCGGTAAGTCCATCTTAAAAGATGGAAGAGGGAGCGCAACTTTGCTTATGTCATCGTCTTCCTTAAGTTCATTGCCATCTAAATCGATATCTCCCTTCAAAACCCTAGCACCATTTTCTTTAATTCTCCGCGAGACAATCTGAAGAAAGTAAATCTATGCCACTTCCACCACCATATGCAGGGAAGTAAAGTGGCATAAAAAAATTTACAACAAAAGCTGCTGAATAAAGGACTTGCAAAAGAGAGAGAAGAGAAGAAAAAACTGCCAAACTAAAGGCTTCAAGCAAGGTGATTTGAAGAAACTTTGTCAGTTTCCAGAAAATTACCTGATTCCACAATAAGCTTTGAAAAGCATGGACGTACAAACTACGTCCACTTCTTGGAAGGCACATAAATGCATTTTTGAATCCTCCTTTAGACAGTGCCTTGAGAATGCGGCACTCAATAGAAGCAAACACCTTAAAAGATTTTTTGAAATAAAATGAGAAAATCCCTGAGTGTTTCGAGAGATTAACGTCTTTCAAAAAACTTCTTATACAACACTAAATTTACAAGCGCCAGTTACCTGACTTCCCGAAAGTTTACTTAAAGCAAGACTCGCATCTTTTTTCTCATGCCACACTTTCAAAGCATCATCAAGACACCCTAAAAAGTCGCACTTAGTGAGGAAAACAAAACAAGGTGGATTTAAAAGTAAAGAGAAATAAAACCATTGACATCACGCGCCCCAAGAACAATATCAACAGCTTCTTTCCACTCTCCTTTGACTATCGCTTTACCCACGCTAGCTGTATTTATACCGCACGAGCCGAAGCGTTGTGTGCCAAAGTAATTGATAAATCCCTTGGCTGCGACCTCCTCAACACGCTTCTTCAATTCTTCATCAGAAACCAAAACTTTCCTTAAAATATTTTTTTAGCACAGCAGTGGCAGAAATGTTACAAAAAAATGTTACAGAAAAATTTTGGAAAACTTTCTTCACTTATCCACTACCTTAAAGCTATTTGAAACCGGTTTCCCCAAAGATCGCCCAAAATGCATGGTTTCTCCTCATAGGTGAAATCCGACAAACGGATTCCACGTAAACGGGCATTTATCTCTTTAACCCGCTCAGCAGTATAACGATACAACGAAACACGTTGAGCAGTTACAGCGCGGCGATCCTTGGTGCCCCGTGTACCTAAGTTTGTGACTTTGGTGCTGAAAGCAAAGGAAGTCAGTAAGAGACAGAGATTAAACTGCATTTTTAAAATAAATAGACAAAGAAGGACCCGAGATATTTTGCGAGCATTGATAAAGCAAACTGAGCATCCTTGTTTTCCTTTGATAGAGTGAAATGCAAATAATTGGGACGTTCTTTCGGCCACCGGCTTCTTTTCCTAAAAAAAAAAGCAAGAAGCGATACATCGCAGCTGTTGTACATGAAAAACTAGAAAACCGTAAAACAAATTAGCCCTAAAACAGTTTTAGATTCCGAATATTAATACTAAATTACACTAGTTTTACTAAAGTTACGTCACTACAGCGAGAAATCTTCTAAAAAAAAAAATGATGGCACCTATAATCTCCTAAAATTGAAACACGTATATTCCCACTGTCTGTTTGGGACTGCAAACGGCCCTGATATCGGTTTCTGATCCACTGGTGTATTTCAGTACGTTCTTGTTTACTGAGATTCTTCAAAAATAAGTAAAACAAAAAAGTTTTTAATCGTCCCGATGAATATGAACAAAAGTTGACAAATAAAACGGCAACTAAAATAGCAATCAGGGGCACACCGGAACAGGCAATAAAACACTTTTCGTTTCGTCATCCACTATTTCATCTAATGAAGTTAGATTTTTTTCGCTGACAGTTGATGGAGTTGGAAAAGTATTATTTATACAGTCTCGATTACTTTTAATCTCAGACTTTTTTTCAGCTTCTACTGGAACCAAAGTGCAGACTTCTAAAAAAACTTTACCTCATGCACACTCGACAATCTCTAAACTATAAAATAAGCAAAAAAAAATACACGCTGCAGCGCTTTCTGCTGCGATTTCAAAAAACGAAAATAAAATGTATCTAAAATTTTTATTGTCATAAACTTTACCACAGACATCGCCGTTGGAAGAAATTTCTTTTACTATAAAATCAGAATACAGATGTTTCAGAACGCAACTCATCTGTTCTTGTGGAGAACCCAAGTATTCAGTGATACCAAAATCAACTTCCATTGTTTCAACACTGTCGTAGAATCCGAGTACCTGTAACCCTAAAACATATGATTAGAGACTTCTTATTCCTTTAATGAAATGCTGTTTACGAACTCCGCCAAAAATGCGACAAGTAAATATCATGATGTGAAACGGAAGCTACGAAAATTTACGAAAATTTCAGATACATTCAGATAAACAGAATAAAAATTCCACAGTGAAAACTGGAAAAACCCTAAAGCACTCCGACACTTTCTAGGATTGTGACAACGACATATACCATTTTGTGAAACTTCAGAAAAACCCCGTGATCACTAAATCACGAATAATGTTAATCGCCATCAACAAACATTGTTTGAACCTTTGGACGCCTTGAAACTCAAAACCGTGGTATACAACCGGAAAAGACAGCCGGTTAAAACCCGAATTTAAGCTTGAGAACTCGTTGTGAGACCCAGAAAAAGCGCGTCGCTTCCAAAAAGTTCAAAACACCATCGCGACTTGGGTGTGGACCGTTCTGTAAAAATCCTCTACCTTTCCTCCAGCTTTAGAAGTGATTTTGCGCCCTATGGATACGGTTACTAACGTTATTCGAAACATTTCTGAGCAGGTCAAGGCGTTTAAAGATTGTTATAGACCGGAGAACTTTTCATACATTTTTTTAAACGGAAAGAAAGGAGCAGAGTGATATCTGTGAGCAAATAATTGAATTTAAAATGAACTTAAGTTGAATTTTTTCCCTATATATGGAAAACAGGTTCAGAATTTCGCATTGGCTCTTGGTAATCCTTTTCTTTCGGTTATGCGACCTCTCATCAAAAAACTGAGGATTATAATTAAGCACAAAGTAAAGCCATCGCGCTGCCATTCGACAACTTTTTTTCTGAACAGCTATAGGCGGTTAGTCTCAATGAAATGGTAGTCATAAGGAGAAGAAACAAGTTGACTATTACAGTAAGAAGATTCTGTGCTACATGCAGTGAACCTATCGTCTTATCTTTCCTATCCGTTGCCGAACGAGAAGCTTACTGTCATTCAGAGAGTCAAGTTTAAAAGATTTTTTTGTAATTCAGGAGCAATTCATGATAGGCCTGGCGCAGAGAAAATGATTATTCTTTCTGCTGACGTTTTTTTGTAATATATTTATTATCTTCTAATTTAATCCACAAATATTTCTGTATTACAGCATTTACAAACCATCAACTTACGTTGGCGTCGCTCTCGTGAACTACTAGTAGAAGTTATTATTTTGTATCATATTCGAACTGCCTAAAAGATGCCAGTAGTAAGTGTTTTGCTCCTTCTCAGCAGAGAATTATAAGGAGCCGAGGAAAGTTTTATCATAAATACTTATGGCTCTAAGTACTCAAAAGTACGTAATTTTTTTTAAATACTTTATACACTTTCCATTTTTATGTTTACGAGCCATTGTTGCCTTTCAATAGTTTATTTCGCTTCAATTTCAAGTAATCTTGTTTATTAGTCAAGTGTTCTATACATCTGTAGGACTTTTCCAGTAAGAACCTGGAAATGTTTCAAAGTTTAACGATTGCACACCGAGAAGGTCCTTCACGCGTATCTGGAGTTTTTACTTGGCTTTCGCCAAAATTATTTCTACATTCATTGTTCTGCTGACCAAGTTACTGTTGAACAGTGTTTGTCATTTGAATTTACGCACATTCACTTTTAATGGGTAGTGAATATACTTTTCTTTCCAGTCTATTGCAACTTTTTTACTGAAAGACGTAGATGAAGATTATGAGTATTTGTCTTATTTTTGTTGGTATTTTTTCTTTTTCTACGCATAATCGTTGAAGATTTTCAAAAATCTATTATTATGTTTTTGCTTTTTTTCCCTAATTCTTGGTTATCTGAAAGGAATACTTGTGATTCAAGAAAAGTTGATTTTCAAGCGTAAGCTGGCAAGATAATTCATAGTTTATGTAACTAGTGTTTTTAGTTCTCATCTTGTAGAGTTAGGTGATTAGTCTTTACGGTTCATCCAAAGATGTCGCAGTTTACATTTGGGCATTGTAGAAGCTGCAGTTGTCAAACGGCGCAGTTGGATAGGAGCATCAGTACGTAGACTAATTTTTCTGTCTTTATCCTAGTGTTGGATTCATTGAAGTTGGTAC